TTATGTATAACGATGATTTGGTAATAGCTGCTCATTCAGAGGAGGAGTTGGAGACGCTGCTGCTGGGACTGGAGCATGCCACTAAGAGATGGGGCCTTACCATCAGCCCCACCAAAACTAAGCACCTGCCTGGGTATTTTGTACCATCGGACACTCCACCCCCACAACTCCCAATCGGTGATGGGGCAGTTGTGGAGAGAGTGGAGAGTTTCCCATACCTTGGCAGTGTGCTTATGACCGGCTCAAGTTTAACAGCAGAGGTCTCACTCCGAATCAGTCGAGCGGCAATATCTTTTCATCGGTTGCGTAACGCTGTGTGGAAGCTACCTGGTCTGTCACTCCGCACTAAGCTTCAGGTCTTCTCGGCCACGGTAATTCCCTCCCTTCTCTACGCTTGCGAAACGTGGACCCCCCTAATGGAACATCTTCACCGGTTAGAAACATGTAGGCTGGCCTGCCTACGATCCATCCTGGGTTTAACCAAGCTGGATTGTGCGAGGAGCTCACAAATCCTTGAAAGATCTGGGCACGGTCCCATCGGTGAGCTCTTCCGGCAGGCAAGGCTGCGTTGGCTGGGTAATGTAGCCCGCATGCCCAGCCACCACATGCCGAAAAAGATTTTGTTCGGCCAGATCGAGGGGGCTAAACGGGCGTGGCACGGGCTAGAAAAGAGATGGAGTGATGTGGTACAGGAGGACGTGGAGCTGAGTGGACTTGCCAATGACTGGTACAAGCGGTGTCAAGATCGGCCTCTGTGGAGGAGGCTCGTGAAGGACGCTAGTGAAGGACGCTACTGGGCATTTGGAGGCAGTCGCCCTCCAACAACAACGGAGGGCAGAGGAGCGACGCTCACAACAACGAGCGGAGCGCCGGGTGGCTAAAGCACAGCAGGTTGGCACAGTAGGGGGCACAGGTGGTGCATCAGCCAGTCATCTCAGTCAGTCGACCCGTGGCACCTGGGTCTGCCCCGTGACTTCCTGCCAGCGGGCGTTCGACACTTCACGTGGCCTCAAGGTGCACATGGCCTGGCACAAGCGTCGTGGTGACGTCACCGCCACTTAGTGGCGAATGGCGGTTGTTGTTGCTGTTGTTGTTGTGTGGGGGTGTGTGTGGGGGTGTGTGTGTGGGGGTGTGTGGGGGTGTGTGGGGGGGTGTGGGGGTGTGTGTGGGGGGGTGTGTGTGGGGGTGTGTGTGGGGGTGTGTGGGGGGGTGTGGGAGTGTGTGTGGGGGGGTGTGGGGGTGTGTGTGGGGGGTGTGTGGGGGTGTGTGTGGGTGTGGGTGGGGGTGTGTGGGGGGTGTGTGTGGGGGTGTGTGTGGGGGTGTGTGTGGTGGTGTGGGGGGTGCCTCTCATTTAGCCGTCCTCTCTCACTCGCAGGCGTGGCCACGTGGGAATCGCGAGCGATTGACGTTTCTTCTTTCTGTGTCGTGGGGTTTTTGTTGTTGTTATTGTTGTTTAACTGCTGTCAACTGAAGGTTGGAAGCGTTGCGAGCTCGTTGCGAGCTTCTGCCGGGTTTGCTCGTCAGTCAGTGCCTGATCTCAACCGGTCCCGGGCCCCCCCCCCACCCCTAGGTCGACTCAGCCTTAAATGAGCACCCGGTGCAGTGTGGAAACGTCGTCACTGGGGAGACAAAGGCGGCCGTGCGTGGTGTTGGCCACCCAACCCCCTCGTATGCCGTGCCGGCCTTCATTAGGTGCTACTCACTAACAGCACTTGCCCCGAAAGTCTGTTACAGTCGGTAAAGTCACGTAGGTAAAAAATAAAACAACAAAAATCACGACGTTTCGGCCACAACACAAGTGGCCGAAACGTCGTGATTTTTGTTGTTTTATTTTTTACCTACGTGACTTTACCGAATAGAACCAAAGAGTATGGATCCTTGCAGTCACGAAAGCTTTAAATCTAGAAAAGTCTGTTCCAGGCTACACACGGGGGATCTTTGTTCTTTGTCTTGCCAGTCGGGCCTCTGTCCAACGATTGATGTCAAGATATAAAGTGGCCACACATGTGTAGCCACACATGTGTAGCTACGGGCGCCGCACTTTCCATCTACGTGACTTTACCGAAAGACCCAAAGAATAGTACTATACTGCCTTCAACTTTTATGAACGACTGGGCGGTTAAGATGATCGATTTGTGGTATTATCTGTAGCTGTATAGCAAATGAAAAAAAATACAATTACTTTACTATTCAAGTAAAAAAGTTAGTGTTTTAATATTTGTGTTTTTTATTTAGGGCCCCTTTATAACAACAAGGGCCCCCACGCTGAATGCTTTCCAGCAATAAATTCCCGTTCAGTGATTCTGCACTTGCTGTCTTACTATAGCACTATACTGACATAAGGCTTTCGTGACTGCAGCAATTCATATTCTTTGGGTCTTTCTGTAAAGTCACGTAGATAGGTTCAAAGAAAATAACAAAAAACTACGAAGTTTCGATCGCAACACAAGCGTTCATCATCAGAAGAGGAAACTTCGTTTTTGGTTATTTTCTTTGAACCTAACTACGTGATTCATATTCTTTGGGTCTTTCTGTAAAGTCACAAAGAAAATAACAAAAAAACTACGAAGTTTCGATCGCAACACAAGCGTTCGCCATCAGAAGAGGAAACTTCGTTTTTGGTTATTTTCTTTGAACCTAACTACGTGATTCATATTCTTTGGGTCTTTCTGTAAAGTCACAAAGAAATAACAAAAAAACTACGAAGTTTCGATCGCAACACAAGCGTTCGCCATCAGAAGAGGAAACTTCGTTTTTGGTTATTTTCTTTGAACCTAACTACGTGATTCATATTCTTTGGGTCTTTCTGTAAAGTCACAAAGAAAATAACAAAAAACTACGAAGTTTCGATCGCAACACAAGCGTTCGCCATCAGAAGAGGAAACTTAGTTTTTGGTTGTTTTCTTTGAACCTAACTACGTGATTCATATTCTTTGGGTCTTTCTGTAAAAGCACAAAGAAAAGAACAAAAAACCATGACATTTCGATCGCAACGCAAGCGGTCGTCATCCAGATGTTATTTTCTTTTCTTTGAACCTATCTACGTGACTAAACCGAAAGACCCAAATAATATGAATTCCTGCAGTCACGAAAGCTTTAAGTCAAGATTTTCTATCTACGTGACTTTACCGAAAGAGCCAAACAATAGTACTATACTGCCTTCAACTTTTATGAAGGCTATCGATTCGTCGTATTCATTATCTGTGGCTGTATAGCATATGAAAACATACAATAACTTTACTATGCAAGTAAAAAAAATATTGCGTTTTAATATTTTCGTGCTTTTATTTTTTATTTTAGGGCCCCTTTATAGCAACAAATGCTACAGTCCCCGCACGGGCTTAATTCGGCACTGAAGGTACACTGTTATTGTGTTTTACAGAATCCAGAACGCGTCTTGCTTTTGTACCGGGCAATCCGCTGCCTTCATTCCGACGTCTCTCCACGTCGCATCGGCCACGCGACAGCCTTTTCCGAAAGTGCTCTAATTTCAGCAGCAATGGTTGGAACAGGAGAGCAAACAAAAAAACCCTGGGCGGCCGCTGTCAACATTTCAGGTATCTCATCGGCAAGAGTCGGACCTTCGCTTGAACCAAAATGCTCATCGTGAATGGCCAAACAACCAGATTTAGCGAATTAGAAAGCGAGCGAGTGAAATCTTTGCAGGATTAGTTGTGGGGTTTTTTTTACTTCTCGTGAGCAGCATTTTATTCATGAGCTTGCAAAACCACATTCCTCATTTACCCAATTGCAACGTGAATTCCGCATTGAGCAGGCTGCGCTTGCGAGGTTATAGCAATGAAAAGCCATGCTTGTGCACGCAGTTTCGTGAGCGATCAACTATCAACTTATTTCGCGGTGCTCTAAGGCAAGCATTATCGCACAATTCCTCAAATTACTCAAATATCTTTTCCACGGGGAAAAAAAACATTTTTACAGAACGTACATAAATGCAGAAAAACATTTAGCGTACACCATATGCACGCCCACTACATATATCGTAAAAAAACTCACAACAATCGTCATCACAATGCACACTGATTGACAGCTTAGTATGTATGCCCCCCCCACCTCCGATTAGCACGGTTGGCTACATACGGTGCGGAAGAAATTCAAATACCTACATATTGAACTTCTTTCGCACTTCTAAATAAATTAGTTTTCAATTTACAACATCAGCCGAGCTTTGGAAAGAAATCCAAAATGCTTTGTTCGTTTGCAACATGGACAGCGTATCAGATAAGTCAACAAAACATCCTGGTCTGTCTTGGACAGTCCCGGATACAGAAAGGCTGTCCCCAGATTGTCCTCCCAACGATTCATACTCTTTGTTTTTTTCGGTAAAGTCACGTAGGTAACATAAAATGATAACAACTAAATTAAATCACGACGTTTCGGAGGCAACACAAGCTTCCGTCTTCAGGTGGAACAGTCACAGCAAAATAGCTGTATCAAGTGAAGAGCTCTGAGACACCCGAGATTATATACAGGTTAAGGGGGGGGAGGGGCCAGGAAGGGACGTGGGTGGGGGGGAGGGGCTAAGTTAAGCCGCCTTTTGTTATGCTGCAGGGGGTTCGGGGGTAGCGGTGGTGCACTGCACGAGAGTGAGTACAACCCACTCGAAGAAATGGAAATGGTTGTACAATTATAAGGCAGCTAAAATTTAACTTGGTTGATGACATCTTTCCAATGGTTGCTCAATTTAAAACCATCCAAGTTGTGTCTATGTTTGTATATCTGGATGGCTTCATGGACAAATCTTTGGTAATAACTGGGAGGTTTGCAGAGAACTTTGGTATCAGAGAAAACAATGTCATGAGAACCCGCTGTGTTGAGACAATGATCAGCCACGGCCGAAGAATTCGTTCTGCCGTGTTTCAAATCTGATTTGTGCTCGCGAATTCGGTCATAAATATGTCGTTTCGTCTCCCCGATATAGCAGTCACCGCAGGTACAACTCAATTTGTAAACACCGGGGTACTGTAAGTCAGGAATGACATCCTTTACGGATGAAATCAGATCATGGATTTTGTGTACTGTATTGAACCGGACCTGGATCTTGTGTTTGTTTAGAATTTTGGAAATCTTTTTGGTAACGCCTGCCATGTATGGCAACGTGATGATTTTGCCCCAAGTGAAGCCAGAAATCACCTTCTGGCTTCACGTGGGGCAAAGGGCGGAGCAACCCGAGCAGTAGGAGGGGCTACCCGAGCAGTGGGCGGAGCTACCCGAGCAGTGAGAGGAGCCCCGCAAGTAGTGGGCGGAGCTACCCGAACAGTGGGCGGAGTTACCCAAGCAGCGGGCGGGGGCTGCCCGAGCAGTGGGCGAGGCTAGTGATTGAGTGGGCGTGGACTCTGTGACATTGGACGCGGCTCACCCCGTGTCCAGGTTGAGCCTCCCAGAACGTTGGTAGCATTAGTCCAGTATCGGAGTGACACGCTTTTCTACCGTAGGATGTGCAGTGACCAATCACACTTAACGAGAGACTGGGGGGCCCCTCGCCCCCTGCCTCCCCCCACCCCACCCACACCTCCCGGCAGCGTTAAGTTAATTTGGCGGGGAAGTTAAGACGGGGCGAGAGAGAGAGAGAGTCGGTGTTTGTGTGGCGTGCGGCCACGTCTGACCACAGCCGTTGCGTGCCCTCCCGCCCCGTGGCCCAGAGCCGGCGCAGTCTCTCCCAGCCGGTGCGCGCCGTCGTCAGCAGGTAGTCGGCGTTCTCCGGGTGCTGCAGGATGGTGTAGCGAGCGAGCACCAGCGACTGGCAGAACCTACGGTGGGGGGTGGGGGGGTCGAATGTAAAGGTGCAGCCCTGCAATTGCTCTCTCGCGCCACTGCTGGCCGCAAGGGGCCTCCGCTACGCGGAGCCCTGGAGGAACCCTCCTCTAGGGAGGGTATTGTGACCGACATATTTGCATGCTGATCAGACGGGCTTAGGAAGTGGGTGGGCGTCAACCCACACTTCACCCCACCACGCGCGACCTGCCGATCAACTAACCCGTGGTGCACTCATACACACCGTAACACTGCTGGGTGGACAGAGGCGGTAGGGAGGATTTAAGAAACTCACACCGTTGCTTCTACTGCCACGCCGGCATATCGAACCAAACCGGTGATCACTGGACTGTAATTCAAATGTGCGAACAATTACACCCCCCTCCCACCCCCCACACACTTTAGCAGCATCCCAAGCCAGCACCAGTTACTGGCAGAACCTATAGGCACCAATAGTTTTGTGGGGGGTGGGGGGAGGTGGGGGTTCGATGCAAATTATCAACAAGGAAGCATTGGCCGTGGCATGTAGCTCGCATTCTCAGCCACCGTGTGCCAAGCACCTTCAAGGATTGTGAAATACCATACACTGCAGCACTGGGAAAGTGCAGGCAGCCACCTTTCAGCAACAACAGAAGGCCGTTGAGTGACGCTCCCAATGTCGAGCGGCTGAATCTCAGCAAATATGGCACAGTAGGGGATGCAAAGGTGGTGCATCTGTCAATCATCTCGGTCAGTTAAAACATAACACCTGGGTCTTTCTCATGACCTGCCACCAGCGAGACTTTAAAGACACTTCACGTGGCCTCGTGCGCCTAGCCTGGCATACAGTGAGGGAAAAAAAGTATTTTATCCCCTGATGATTTTGTACGTTTGCCCACTGACAAAGAAATGATCCGTATATAATTTTAATGGTAGGTTTATTTGAACAGTGAGAGGCAGAATAACAACAAAAAATCCAGAAAAACGCATGTCAAAAATGTTATAAATTGATTTGCATTTTAATGAGGGAAATAAGTATTTGACCACTCTGCAAAGCATGACTTAGTACTTGGTGGCAAAACCCTTGTTGGCAATCACAGAGGTCAGACGTTTCTTGTAGTTGGCCACCAGGTGTGCACACATCTCAGGAGGGATTTTGTCCCACTCCTCTTTGCAGATCTTCTCCAAGTCATTAAGGTTTAGAGGCTGACGTTTGGCAACTCGAACCTTCAGCTCCCTCCAAAGATTTTCTATGGGACTAAGGTCTGGAGACTAGCTAGGCCACTCCAGGACCTTATTGTGCTTCTTCTTGAGCCGCTCCTTTGTTGCCTTGGCCGTGTGTTTTGGGTCATTGTCATGCTAGAATACCCAACCACGACCCATTTTCAATGCCCTGGCTGAGGGAAGGAGGTTCTCACCCAAGATTTGACGGTATATGGCCCCGTCCATCGTCCCTTTGATGCTGTGAAGTTGTCCTGTCCAACTTAGCAGAAAAACACCCCCAAAGCATAATGTTTCCACCTCCATGTTTGACGGTGGGGATGGTGTTCTTGGGGTCATAGGCAGCATTCCTCCACCTCCAAACACGGCGAGTTGAGTTGATGCCAAAGAGCTCCATTTTGGTCTCACAACACTTTCACCCAGTTGTCCTCTGAATCAATCAGATGTTGAGATCATTGACAAGATTCTCCCGTGTAGTTCTGGGCTGATTCCTCACCGTTCTCATGATAATTGCAACTCCACGAGGTGAGATCTTGCATGGAGCCCCAGGCCGAGGGAGATTGACAGTTCTTTTGTGTTTCTTCCATTTGCGAATAATCGCACCAACTGTTGTCACCTTCTCACCAAGCTGCTTGGCAATGGTCTTGTAGCCCATTCCAAACTTGTATAGGTCTACAATCTTGTCCCTGACATCCTTGGAGAGCTCTTTGGTCTTGGCCATGGTGGAGAGTTTGGAATCTGATTGATTGATTGCTTCTGTGGACAGGTGTCTTTTATACAGGTAACAAGCTGAGATTAGGAGCACTCCCTTTAAGAGTGTATAAAAGACACCTGGGAGCCAGCGATCTTTCTGAATGAGAGGGGGTCAAATACTTATTTTCCTCACTCAAATGCATATCAATTTATAACATTTTTGACATGCGTTTTTCTGGATTTTGTTGTTGTTATTCTGTCTCTCACTGTTCAAATAAACCTACCATAAAAATTATAGACTGATCATTTCTTTGTCAGTGGGCAAACGTACAAAATCAGCAGGGGATCAAATACTTTTTTCCCTCACTGTAAGTGCACGGCCACGTCACGGCCACTTAGTGGCAAATGGCAGTGTTGATTCATGTATGTGTGTGCAGATGTATGCATCTGTGTGCGTGCGCGTGTCTTACGTGGTGGAGCGAAGGCACGGTGGTTAGGAATGATTCACGTACTCCACTACGAACCTGGTGACCCAGGTTCGATTCCCACTCACGGCCAACATCAGTGTCGAATGTCTGAACCAGTCCTGGGCCTCACCTAGGTCGATTCAGCATGAAATTAGTACCTGGTACGGCATGTAAATGTCAGCACTTGAGGTGGACAAAGGGGGCCCTTTGTGGAGCTGGTCACGCCACCCCCTCGTGCGCCATGCCAGCCTTAATAGGCGCTCGCACGGGTAGCTACGTACGGTGTGAAAGAAGTTCAACATACACATATACTTGCTCCAACAGCCTGCGTAGGCTACGCGGGAGGTCTCCGTGTCTGTATATACGTGCACGCGCGCCAAACCTGGACGCCACCAGCCAGTAGACAGCTCCCCTCTCGTCCTCCGTCAGCGGCCGCACGCTCTCGTACCCGGCCATTATGTGCCCGCCCACGTCCATGGGCCGCGAGCTCTCGATCATCATGTACATGATGGCCATGGCGATGTCGTACACGCAGTATCCCTGCATCATGTCGTTGAAGTCCAAGACGCCCGACAGCTTGTAGTGGCTGCCGGCGGCAGGCTCGCCCGTCTCCGACGACTGGACTGCGGGGATCGGCCCCGTTTCTTCCACCAGGATGTTGTGGTCGTTCAGGTCTCCGTGAACGATACCTGGAGGCGGGCAGGCGGCATGTGAGTTGGGCCCCACGGTTTAAGACTTGCCCCACAATTCTTGATTTTTTTTTGTATCTCGCAAAAAGTCAAAATACCGACTTTTGAAACGCGTCCTCTCTGCCGCCAGTGTTTGTTGTACGTGGAACATCGCCACATCTGTCTAAACATTTACAGACAGTGGTGTATGTGTGTGTGTCTGTTGAACTTCTTTTGCACTGTACGTAGCCAACTGTGCTAATCGGAGGCGTAGGGGGGAAGGACAACAAACTAAACACAGGAAGCAGTTCTAAAGAAATGAGTTTTCAATCTAGATTTAAAAGTGCATAGCTCCAGTGGCTTCCTCATATGGAAAGGAAGAGCATTCCAGATGGCCGCAAAAGTGCATCTAAAAGTGCGCGATGCGGTGACCGTCTTTGTCTGATGGCTAGCCAAAAGCCGAGGATGATCAGAGTTCGCGTCATGGTTTATGCCCCTTGCTTTTCAGGTCGGAGTCACGGAGCCGGCACCGCTGAGAGCCTGGGTACGAATCGCGGTCTCTGCCGCCCGCGATTGAACGGCCTCCTCAAGTGTGGCGAGTTGGTGGTCTCAACTTGCTCACCGATGGTTGCGCACACACACACACACAAACAAAAAAAAACATCAAAATAAATTGGGTTCTACACTTAAAATTAGTTCAACCCTAGCTCGGAGAATTAAAATATCAGTTGGACCATCGTGCGACGAACATTGCTCCCGTACGTTAGATTTGAGTGGGGAAGTGCTGCGCTATAATCTTTGGTTCTTTCGGTAAAGTCACGTAGTTAGAGAGACGTACCTCAGGCCTGATGACGACCGCTTGTGTTGCGATCGAAACGTCGTGGTTTGTTCTATTTTATTTCTAACCACGTGACTTTACCGAAAGAACCAAAGAGTATGGATTCCCGCAGTCACGAAAGCTTCAAATCGAGATTGCTGCCCTATACTATGCGAACCAGGTCACCACTCAGGGATCTGAGAGGCAGCTCCGTGATATCCACACCTCCGATGAGCATGGTTGGCTACGTACAGTGCGAAAGAAGTTCAACATACGTGACGACCATCGCGGTTTCAAGGTGGCCTGAAGCGCCCCTCGCCCCCTGGAGGCATGGAGCTACGTCCCGGGTGAAGCTGCGAGGCGAGCGTACATCTGGTAAACTTGTGCAGGTTGGGTTGGATCTCCTCGCGGAACTTGGCGATGACCTCCCTGACCAGGCCCTGGTTGGGGTCGCCGTCCAGAGCGAAGAGGTAGGACTCGAGCAGGTGGGTGTTCGACAGGTTCCAGATGAAATCGTCTCGTTGCAGGAAGCGCAGGAACGGGTGCTCAAACTGCTCAGACGTTTCAAAAACGAAGACGGCAAAATTAATTGAAACAACATCAGCAGCGACGAAAACAACAACAACAACAACGCTCGTGGCTGAAGCTGCATTGGTCGATGGGTTAGTGTGTTCCAATTTAACCGCGCTAACAACCGTCGGTTCGGTGAATTGTCCCGATACAGGGTCACGGCTCAATAGATTATACTTCGTCTCATTTGTACCGTGTCGTGTTCGCTGCGTTTCTTCGCTTTATTTTTTTACACTGCCTTGCACGCACTGTCCCGTCCGAGTCTCGCTTGCTTCACCTCGTTTATACTGGGGGTCTCATTTGTCTTACCTGTCTTGTATGTTGTGTCTCGTACGTGTGTAGTGTTCATCACACTCATACTCTCTCATTTGTACTGCCCCCCGTGTTGTCTGCTCTGCGCGTCTCGTTTGTGCCTTCTTAATTGGTAACGTTAATTATTTTTACTGTCCCCTACGCGCTGTTGGCTCCCTACCCCTATTAAACTCCGCAAGACGAGCGCCTCTTATTTCAGGGCACGTGGATGAGACGCAATCCAAGCGACTTTAGAACTAGTTTCTTTGATATCAACTTCCACGGGCTATTCTTTTCTGCGAGAGTCGCGAATAAACACGTCTTCATATGACGGCGTGACACCAGTGAACACACAACTGGGATATAACTTTTTCACGTGGCTCCCGCTAAGACTGTCGCAGTGTGGGGGGCGACGATAGCAACGCGTTTCCCACCTCCGATTAGCGCCGTTGGCTACGTACGGTGCGAAAGAAATTCAACATACATACGTACGTACATTCAGCTAACTTGCGAGTCTTGTTTTACCTTTTTACGTTGGTTAATATTCTCATGTCACGTGTCAAGAGACGTGTCGCGGCACGCTCCCAGTGCCCGTGGGCTCGTACCTGCTCCAGGGCTTGGTGGATGCTGGCTGCCAGCTTGCCCACCTGGTAGTACAGGCTGCCGTCCGCCAGCACCGTGGACAGCGGCACGCCGGGCAGGTACGTGAGCAGCCGCACGTTGAACTCTTTCTCTCCTTCGCCGAAGTCTGAGAATTCACAGCAGGAGTCGCCACCGAGATCGATAGGTCAAGAGGTCACCACGGTTAGTGCATTCTCATCATTGCTTCCTTTTTCTGGATCCTACAGCTGTTCGGAAGTTGAGATCGCACCCTCCAAGGTCTAGCTTAAGTTTCTTATCATTACTGACATCCAGATTGAGATATTTTTCTTGCCACGCAGATGACCGGTCCTTCAACGGCAATGCTTACAATCTCACTCATCATCACCACCACTACCGTTTGGCTTTAGATCTTCTCCATGATTGCTGACCGATGGGTGCCACTTTCGGATGGCTCAGGGCACTTGGACTGTGTCAGAGCCAGCATCACCGAGATCCTTGGTTGGAGTTCAGGATTCAGCCGCCCGTGATTAAACCGGGCTCTCAAGCGGAGTGAGTCGATGGTCTCGTCCCGGTCACCGACGACTCAAACCCATCGCATTATATTTGAGTATTCACTTAAGTTGGCTAAATTCTATCCCTTTCAGTTTGACTCTTAGGTGAGAAACATTTCTCTGTGGAGGGTGAGTTCGTAATGAGCTACCGCCCCCCCCCCTTCCCCTCCTCGTGTGCGGACTCGATGTCACTGGAAGGGATTGCAGATGTAGCTCTGCGGACGTCTTCTTCCGTAAGTCTAACGCGGGCGGCGTCGCACCGCTCGGCGAGAGTTTCTGAACGGGCAAAAATATTGCCGAGAACGCAATGGGGACGAAACGCACACAGTAGATCATCGATTATCCGGTGCCTTTGGGGGTGGGGGGGGGGGCGCGGATAATCACCGATCATTATTTTAACAAAAATCTTATTTTTGCATATTCTTGCATGACATTATTTATTTAGGTGTTGTTATATGTTTTTTTTGTGTTTTAAATTTGTTTACGATGTGATATTGGCATTAATAAACATACAAATAGACGAAAAAAGCATCCTACTTTTAAAAGTTACTGTATTTACTGTACCGTACTTACGACTCCAATCTAGAGGACTCTGCATCGGGTGATGTATATAGTACACCATTTTCATTGTTTGAGCTGTATGTAGTGTATAATGTAGTGTACATATTTAACACTGAAACCAAGCGTAGCTATTCTTTTTTTTCCACGCATGTGGTGCCGATCGCTGGACCTGGTAACAGCCCTTCGAGCGGTTTTGCCGGATCGACCCCAGGACTGCCCCGGGTAATGTTGGAACAAGCGGGATAATCGATGATCAACTGTGTGATAAAAAAAAAAATTGGGGAAAAGCCCCGAAGAAAGAAATATTCTAGATTTAAAGCTTTCGTGACTGCAAGGATCCATACTCTTTGGTTCTATTGGGTAAAGTCACGTAGGTAAAAAATAAAACAACAAAAATCACGACGTTTCGGCCACAACACAAGCGGCCTTCATCAGGTGAAGGGACCAGACTGTCTCGAGGACAGCGCTGGAAGATGGTTTCAAATTAAGCAACCATTGGAAAGATGTTCTAAATCGAACCAAACATTAAACTAATTTTCAATGGTACAGTATATTTTTCAAGTTGTGGTACCCCAAACTTTCGCAGCTCTTAAAAAATTCCCTTTTCACACCATCAATAGGTAAACTCCCCCTCCCCCCCTCGCCAACCGGCATGTTCACCCGCATGTACACCACCTCTACACCATTCATCATGCTAAGTCGGCCAATCAAATGCTAATTTTTATGCTAATTCCTTTGTCAAGGCACCTTGTTTCCTCGCACACAGCTTAAAGGTCCGCGGTCTGAGCTTGGCTGTGTCTCACTCCAGCGCTGTCCTCGAGACAGCCTGGTCCCTTCACCTGATGAAGGCCGCTTTGTGTTGTGGCCGAAACGTCGTGATTTTTTGTCGTTTTATTTTTTTTACCTACGTGACTTTACCGAACAGAACCAAAAGAGTGTGAAAGAAATATTCCAAAAGCGCGTGAGCGCGCGTGGGCCGGATCGTCGCGTCTCACCGATGCGCTGCAGGGACATGAGGTCTCCGTGTACGGTGAGTCGCACCGTCTGTGTGGGGACGCCCCCGTCCCTTAGGAACATCATCACCCGCGTCTGCACCTCCAGCACCTCCTGCGGACATTGAGAGGTGTGGCGAGCCGCCGGATGGTGAAGGTGAAACGTCAGCACGGTTGGCTGCGTACGGCGTCTAAAAGAAGTTCAACATAACGCACGTGCATGACAACATACGTACGACACGTAAAACGCATTCCAACCCTGTGATAGCAGACTCGTCTAGACCGGGAAACAAGACAAAAAGCAATAACGCGCACGGTATGCTGATGTTTAACCGTCCCGACCACTGCCACGCTTGTGTACGCGGGAAAGCCTCACCGAGTACTCAAGACTCCTTTAACAACAGCAGGGTCCTGCCATAGTTTTGCAAACGCGCGCGTGATGAAAGACGCTGCTGCAAATCGTCGAGCAGGCCGATGCTCGACGAGGAATAATAAAACTCCACGCGTCCGTCGGCAGTGCCGCCGTGTGGCCTTAAAAAGAACGTCCACGTGACAGGCGACGTTCCGGGCAATCACCCTGCACAGAAAATCGTCCAGAGATGCAACGAAGACCTTTTGACGTTAAACTAAAACTGAAGCTCAACGCAGTGGCTTAGGGGCCGTCCATAAATGACGTCACGCACCTGGGGGGGTCGGGGGGGGGTCAGACATTTGTGACGATATGCGACGAGGGGGGAGGGGGGAATTTGAGAAATGTGACGTCACATCAAAATGCGCAACTTTAAATAAATATAGACAACACGTTCTACTGAATGAAATCGACTTTTTAATAAATGTTTTCTCCTACAACATCAGAGTGCAGCGGCACAATGACAATAGTTTAAACCGATTTGAAGCATGTTTTTTTTTGGGGGGGGGGCAGAGCTTTGTGACGTCATATTTGAGGGGGGGGTCTGACTTTTTGTGACGCCGTGTAACTGGGGCGGTATACCAGGCGGGGGACGTCCACGTGTCCCAAACAATTCAGTTGCGTCCAACCACGTTGCGCAACACTTTCGCTGCAATCGTCCAGCAGCGAGAGAGGGCCTCCCCCTTGTGGTCCTGAGTCGTTAATCGAGGACGGCTGTCGACAAGCGTCCTGGGTTGTTTCGGGGTCAAATACACAACAGTATACCGCCGTCTCAGGCAACATTGCACCATTGTCGGAGAATCTGACCTTGAATCTAGATTCAAGGTCAGCGTCTTCTTTACCGTGGCGATTTTACCGCAGTTATGAAATTGTGCGTAGGATGATGATGATGATGACGATGGTTTGAAATGAAGAACTGGGTTTATTGTAAGTGGCGGCTTTATTTTTTGATGAACAGAATAATTGATGACAGAATAATTGATGAGGAGGGTTTGGGATAGGCCTGGTCGTAGTTGGGGAGGGGGGTGCCGGGAGAGGGTGACAGAAAGCTGGGGGGGGGGGCGGTGGGGGCTGAAAATAATGAGCCAACATTGGCATGTATGTGTAATGAGCGACTTCCGAGACAACGCCTTTATTTATTTATTTCTCACATTTGGGCACAATTGGTATGGACAACACTGGGCGATATAGACCACTGGGGGGGGGGGGCGGGGGGGGGTGTGGCACGTGCCCCCCCAATGATCCGATCGAAATCCCTAATTTCTATCGGATCATTGGGGTGTATTAGTAATAAATCGCCATTTTGCGACCCCCACTGCCACTGTGTAGCATATTATTATTATGTGCCAGGGACTCTATGAGATGATAGGACAATCGTCTGAGTCCATAATTGGCAATAGGTAACGGCAAAGCAGTTATAAGTGACTCACAGAATAGTGCGCAGTTGCGTATACAGAGTCCACGACTTCCCTGAAGGCATCGACACCTTCAGAGAGCGCGATGCCAATCACACAACACGGTTCGAATTCGACCCTCGATCGATGGCTGCGTCATCGCCGCACACGCGTCGAATGAAAAGCAAGGGACAAGTCCTTACTTACTAACAACTCCTTACTTACTAACAACTCCTTACTTACTAACAACTCCTTACTTACTAACAACTCCTTACTTACTAACAAGCCCTTACATACTAACAACTCCTTACTAACAACTCCTTACTAACAGCTCCTTGCTTACTAACAACGCCTTACTTACTAACAACTCCTTACTTACTAACAACTCCTTGCTTACTAACAACGCCTTACTTACTAACAACTCCTTGCTTACTAACAACTCCTTACTTACTAACAACTCCTCTATCATGTTTCATTGCTGGAGGGGTTGCCTCCCCCCCCCTACCTGAAAATCCTGGCTCCGCCATTGGATATATAGAAACGCATCTACATAGCTACACACAGCCGACCTTTCTACACAGCCCCATCGTCGGCGTCTAACTACACAGCTGGCCGACTAATGTGGCGATGACGATGATGGGAGCCGTGCAGAGGATCGGCCACGCGGCCGGACGACGAAGAGAGATGACGGCGAGCAGCGACGCGGCCAGGACCCGGGACCCCGCGACAGCCCCGAACCTTCGGTCACGTCCCCCCTTATATACTTCCCGGCGTGGCCAGGCCCCCGCCTCCGGCCACGCCCCCTTCTAGAACCTTCGAGCAGATTCCCCGGAGCTTCCCGACCGACCCCGCCTGTTACCGTTAACCCGGATACACGCCCCTCTTCTCGTTAGTTATTGCATAACGCGCCCATACCCGTGATTACCCCTCCTGGCCGACAGGTGGCACCCTGTCATCACACATGTATATTTATGTAGAACTTCTTTCGCACCATACATAGACACAACAAACTAAAACAATTGGTGGTGGGGGTGGTGGCGAGGGGGGTAGTGGTGTGGGTGGTGGAGAGCGACCCCCCCACCTCCGCCCCACCTGCTGGCGGCTGTCCCTGGTGTTGGTGACCTTGAGGACCCACGCGGCGCCGTCGTTCGTGGCCACGCGGAAGTTCTGGTCGTCGTAGCTCTCCAGGGGCGCCAGGCGCTCCACGCCGAGGCCGTAGAGGCGCGCGATCAGCTCGGTCGCCTGCGCCTCGTCCAGCCTCGGCTTGGTGAGCTCCTCCGAGCTCATGGCGCTCGCCTGCCCTCTTGCCCACGATGCAGCAGCAGCAGGAAGAGGAGGAGGAGACAAAGACAGCAGCAGGAGGAGACAGCAGGAGGAGGAGGAGACAAAGACAGCAGCAGGAGGAGACAAGAGCAGCAGGAGGAGGAGACAGCAGGAGAAGACAAAGACAGCAGGAGGAGGAGACAGCAGGAGAAGACAAAGACAGCAGCAGGAGGAGACAGCAGGAGGAGACAAAGACAGCAGGAGGAGGAGACAGCAGGAGAAGACAAAGACAGCAGCAGGAGGAGACAAAGACAGCAGGAGGAGGAGACAAAGACAGCAGTAGGAGACAAAGACAGCAGGAGGAGGAGACAAAGACAGCAGGAGAAGACAAAGACAGCAGCAGGAGACAAAGACAGCAGCAGGAGACAAAGACAGCAGGAGGAGGAGGAGACAAAGACAGCAGGAGGAGGAGGAGACAAAGACAGCAGGAGGAGACAGCAGGAGGAGACAAAGACAGCAGGAGGAGGAGACAGAGACAGCAGGAGGAGACAAAGACAGCAGCAGGAGAAGACAAAGACAGCAGCAGGAGGAGACAAAGACAGCAGGAGGAGACAGCAGGAGGAGACAAAGACAGCAGGAGGAGGAGGAGACAGCAGGAGGAGGAGGCAAAGACAGCAGGAGGAGACAGTAGGAGGCAGACTTCAGCACTGCCCGCTAAGAGACGACAACATTCCAGACGATGCAGCCCTGGATCTAAGCGAAGCCGGCGACGACGACGATGTTTGGTGTACAACTCACACCACCTCGTCCGCGACCTTACACGCGACACTTCACAGCGCGTCCACATCAACGGGTCAACCGCAGTTCGCCTGTGCGAGCAAGTTGCACGACCTTTCGACTGCTTGTGCTGCAGTCGAAACGTGGTGAGAATTTTTATTGTTTTATATATATTTCTTTAAAAAAAAATATTTTATTGTTTCCCTTTCTACGTGGTGACTTTACCGAAAGAACCAAGAAAACGAATTCCTGCAGTCGCGAAAGCTTTAAATCAAGTTGCACGTGTCCACTGCCCTTGTCTGCCATGCCCCCCAGCTAGCCGCATAGTGTGTAGTCGTGTTAGTGCATGGCTGCACCGGAGGCTTGCTCGGTCTACGATCCGTGACTCTCTGCACGTGGACAAACAAAAGGCGGCAGAAGGGGGTCCATCAGCGGAAGGGAATCGCCCAATGTGGAACTCAACAACGAGCGCAACGCGTTCTCCTGCACCAAAACAAGGATCGTTCATCCTTTACCTGTCGAGATGCGTTGTTGTTGTTGCGTGTGTCTGTTTGTTGTTCACGAGACGATGTTGCGAGAGAGAGAGATAGAGAGAGAGCGGTCCCGACAAAGGAAACTAAAAAAAGTAATCGTCTAGAGCCTAAGCGATGCGAAGAGAAAGTCGTCCGGACAGGCGGTGGCTCAACTTGCCTGTGTGGAGGGGGTCAAAGGTCGGAGAGTTGGGTGGGTGGAGGCAGTGCCGGGCTAAGCTAATACGAGGCCTGGAGCACGATGTTCTAAAGGGGCCATAAACAAATATATATAAACACAATTTTTTTTAACTTGCACAGTAAAGTCATTGTATTTTTTCACTTGCTACACGGCCAGATAATACGACAAATCGATCACCTTAAACGCGCAGTCGTTCATAAAAGTTGAAGGCAGTATAGTACTATAGTAATAGAGCAAGTGCAGAATCACTGAACCGGGAATTGAAAGGTTGAAAGCATGAAAGCATTTAGCGCGGAGCCCTGGAAACTACTGTAGTAGCTACTACTTTTGTAGCTACTTGTGCTACATATGTAGTAGCTACATGTGTAGTAGGTGCTACATATGTAGCTACTTGTGCTACAAGGATAATGTGGTACTGGGTGGGCGTTGAATTCCGGATGAATGATTCGAGGTTGGTGATTGCGTCCGGTGTGGATCCAAGGGATGTTTATAAAACATTCACATCGCTGTCAACCGCTTATCAATACTCACCTTATTACAGATTGATTCAGATCTTATTGGTCACCCCGTGTCCTCATAAATCACAACGTTCATCTTACAAAGTCTCATCACAAGGGAGAAACACAAATAGACAATCACCACTAGTACACTCACCACTAATACACTCACCACTAAAATACTCATCACTAAAATAATCGCCACTAGTACACTCACCACTAATACTCGCCACTAGTACACTCACCACTAGTACACTCGCCACTACACTCGCCACTAGTACACTCAGCACTAAAACACTCACCACTAGTACACTCACCACTAGTACACTCACCACTAATACTCACCACTAGTACACTCACCACTAGTACACTCACCACTAGTACACTCACCACTAGTACACTCACCACTAACACCGCTAACACACTCACCACTAGTACACTCGCCACTACACTCGCCACTAGTACACTCAGCACTAACACACTAACCACTATACTCACCACTACATTCACCACTAGTACACTCAGCAATAAAATACTCCCCACTAGCATACTCACCACTAGTACACTCACCACTAGTACACTCACCACTTCCACACTCACCACTACACTCACCACTAGTACACTCACCACTAGTACACTCACCACTACACTCACCACTAGTACACTCACCACTGGTACACTCACCACTACACTCACCACTACACTCACCACTAGTACACTCACCACTATACTCACCACTAGTACACTTACCACTAATACACTCACCACTAGTACGCTCACCACTACACTCACCACTAATACACTCATCACTAGTACACTCACCACTAGTACACTCACCACTGGTACACTCACCACTACACTCACCACTAGTACACTCACCACTACACTCACCACTAGTACACTCACCACTACACTCACCACTAGTACACTCACCACTTTTTACACACACCACTACACTCACCACTAGTACACTCACCACTAGTACACTCACCACTAGCACACTCACCACTAGCACACTCACCACTGGTACACTCACCACTACACTCACCACTACACTCACCACCAGTACACTCACCACTAGTACACTCACCACTATACTCACCACTAGTACACTTACCACTAATACACTCACCACTAGTACACTCACCACTACACGCACCACTAATACACTCACCACTAGTACACTCACCACTATACTCACCACTAGTACACTTACCACTAATACACTCACCACTAGTACACTCACCACTATACTCACCACTACACTCACCACTAGTACACTTACCACTAGTACACTCATCACTACACTCACCACTAGTACACTCACCACTATACTCACCACTAGTACACTCACCACTAATACACTCACCACTGGTACACTCACCACTAATACACTCACCACCAATACACTCACCACTAGTACACTCACCACTAATACACTCACCACTAATACAATCACCACTAATACACTCACCACTAGTACACTCACCACTACACTCACCACTAGTACACTCACCACTAGTACACTCACCACTAATACACTCACCACTCGTAAACTCACCACTAGCACACTCACCACTAGTACACTCACCACTACACTCACCACTAGTACACTCACCACTTCTACACTCACCACTAGTACACTCACCACTAGTACACTCACCACTACACTCACCACTAGTACACTCACCACTAGCACACTCACCACTAGTACACTCACCACTACACTCACCACTAGTACACTCACCACTTCTACACTCACCACTAGTACACTCACCACTAGTACACTGACCACTATACTCACCACTAGTACACTCACCACTAGTACACTCACCACTAGCACACTCACCACTGGTACACTCACCACTACACTCACCACTACACTCACCACTAGTACACTCACCACTATACTCACCACTAGTACACTTACCACTAATACACTCACCACTAGTACGCTCACCACTACACTCACCACTAATACACTCATCACTAGTACACTCACCACTATACTCACCACTAGTACACTTACCACTAATACACTCACCACTAGTACACTCACCACTATGCTCACCACTACACTCACCACTAGTACACTTACCACTAGTACACTCATCACTACACTCACCACTAGTACACTCACCACTATACTCACCACTAGTACACTCACCACTAATACACTCACCACTAGTACACTCACCACTAATACACTCACCACCAATACACTCACCACTAATACACTCACCACTAATACACTCACCACTAGTACACTCACCACTACACTCACCACTAGTACACTCACCACTAGTACACTCACCACTAATACACTCACCACTCGTAAACTCACCACTAGCACACTCACCACTAGTACACTCACCACTACACTCACCACTAGTACACTCACCACTAGTACATTCACCACTACACTCACCACTAGTACACTCACCACTAATACACTCACCACTAGCACACTCACCATTAGTACACTCACCACTACACTCACCACTAGTACACTCACCACTAGTACACTCACCACTACACTCACCACTAGTGCACTCACCACTAGCACACTCACCAGTACACTCACCACTAGTACACTCACCACTAGAACACTCACCACTAGTACACTCACCACTATACTCACCACTACACTCACCACTAATACACTCACCACTAGTACACTCACCACTAATACACTGACCACCAATACACTCACCACTAGTACACTCACCACTAGTACACTCAACACTAATACACTCACGACTTCTACCCTCACCACTAATACACTCACCACTAGTGCACTCACCACTACACTCACCACTAGTGCACTCACCACTAGTACACTCATCACTATACTCACCACTAGTACATTCACCACTAATACACTCACCACTAGTACACTCACGACTAGACTCACCACTAGTACACTCACCACTAGTACACTCACCACTAATACACTCACCACTAGTACACTCACCACTACACTCACCACTAGTACACTCACCACTAGTACACTCACCACTAATACACTCACCACTCGTACACTCACCACTAGTACACTTACCACTAGCACACTCACCACTAGTACACTCACCACTACACTCACCACTAGTACACTCACCACTAGTACACTCACCACTAGTACACTCACCACTACACTCACCACTAGTACACTCACCACTATACTCACCACTAGTATACTCACCACTAGTACACTCACCACTAATACACTCATCACTAGTACACTCACCACTAGTACACTGACCACTATACTCACCACTAATACACTCATCACTAGTAGACTCACCACTAGTACACTCACCACTAGCACACTCACCACTACACTCACCACTAGTACACTCACCACTACACTCACCACTACACTCACCACTAGTGCACTCACCACTAGTACACTCACCACTAATACACTCACCACTAGTACACTCACCACTAGTACACTGACCACTATACTCACCACTAGTACACTCACCACTAGTACACTCACCACTAATACACTCACCACTAGTACACTCACCACTATGCTCACCACTACACTCACCACTAGTACACTCACCACTAGTACACTCATCACTACACTCACCACTAGTACACTCACCACTAGTACACTTACCACTATACTCACCACTAATACACTCACCACTAATACACTCATCACTAGTACACTCACCACTACACTCACCACTAATACACTCACCACTAGTACACTCATCACTAGTACACTCACCACTACACTCACCACTAGTACACTCACCACTAGTACACTCACCACTATACTCACCACTAGTACACTTACCACTAATACACTCACCACTAGTACACTCACCACTATACTCACCACTACACTCACCACTAGTACACTCACCACTAGTACACTCATCACTACACTCACCACTAGTACACTCACCACTATACTCACCACTAGTAAACTCACCACTAATACACTCACCACTAGTACACTCACCACCAATACACTCACCACTAGTACACTCACCACTAGTACACTCACCACTTCTACCCTCACCACTAATACACTCACCACTAGTACACTCACCACTACACTCACCACTAGTACACTCACCACTAGTACACTCACCACTAATACACTCACCACTCGTACACTCACCACTAGTACACTCACCACTAGCACACTCACCACTAGTACACTCACCACTACACTCACCACTAGTACACTCACCACTAATACACTCACCACTAGTACACTCACCACTAGTACACTCACCGCTACACTCACCACTAGTACACTCACCACTAGTACACTCACCACTATACTCACCACTAGTACACTCACCACTAGTACACTCACCACTAATACACTCACCACGAGTACACTCACCACTAATACACTCACCACTATACTCACCACTAGTACACTCACCACTAGTACACTCACCACTAACACACTCACCACTAGTACACTCACGACTACACTCACCACTAGTACACTCACCACTACACTCA